AATAAATCCTGTCCTATCAAATAATTGATCCAATCTCAGATAATTGATCCAAGCTTGAGAACTATCAGATACTGAGTTTTGTTGTAAAATTTCAAACGGATTTAATCTCATTTTCACTTCATCAAGTCTATTAATTAATCGAGCTCTTTCATTTCTGTACTTCTAACAGTTTACCAGAATATGTTCTATTGTTTCATCTTCTCCACAATCACATTTACCAGTATCATGTTTCCCTGTTAAAAAGAGAGTGCTGTTTAATCCTGTATGTCCAAATGTAAGACGTGATAAAACTACCTCTTCCCTTCTGTTTCTTTCAGCACTTCTCATCTCTCCTACTTTACTCTGAATCCTATAAAACCATCGACCTTTTCTTTCTTCTTCCCTATACTATACTATAATGAAGTTCTACAGGAAAAACAAACTACTCTACCCATACCCCATGGGAGGGCCGAGTTGTGCCTCTCAGGTAGCGGTTCATGTTGACAAACTCAATAACAACAAGTCTGTATTTTGTTGTCCCGTACATGTCAACCTCTTTGGATGTTTACCTGTATAAAACGCCTCAAAAATCTGTAAATTTGGCAAAAAAGTTCATAAAACTCGGGGGTCAGCTTCACTGGGGACGTGAAAGCGCCCGCTGTGAAGCATGAGGAAAGGAGAGCAGAAAAGGTTCAAAACTTATTTCTAGCGGTAGAACAGGTTGGAAGATGGCTATTTGATGTTATTTATTGTTTTTTTAAATCATCCTACAGGCTCTGACACGTTCGATGAAAATGAGGTTTTGAAAAWATCCATAAAACTTGAAAATATCTGTGAAATTGCTCTATATGTCCGTATACCAGCAAAATGACGTAAAATCCTTATAACTTACGGACAATCTGTACAAGCTAACATGTATGTTGTTATTTATTTGCTTTCTGGGAAAGCAAATAAATCTAAGTTTACCATAGTACCTTACACTGTCAAACTTGTTTTTAGGGGGTTCAAATTGGGGTGGGGTTGCGCTTCAACTCACCTAGGGCACCAAAATGGCTAGAGCCAGCACTGATTTTAATTCTAAATAATGTTTGTTGTTTTTCTGTCAAAGTGTCTGGTCTGCTCTCTGAAAAACTGTTTTTAATACTAATTAGTGATGAGCTGGAATCTGAATACACTATTGATCTTAATGGCCGATTATCTTCAATCCACTGAATAGCTAATAGTATTGCTACCACTTTCCCTGTATATACTGAGACATTATCACTTATCCTCCTTCCTATTTCCACACCAAATTCAGGAATTATGTACGCTACACCAATTTGATCTTCTATATTCTTTGATGCATCTGTAAATACTTTAACATATCCACCATACAGTATTCTTTGCTTATAATAGAATTTAAATTATTTTTATTTTCTAATAATTCCATATCTACTAMTGAATCTGTAAATAACCATGGACATACCACTGACAATGGCACTTATATTAACACTATTTATCTGATTTTATACACTTTTCTGGTTTATTTCACAAACAAAATTTTTTATTTAGTTTTTTCCCTTTTTCCCAGCATGATTTTAACACTTCTTGAGTTGGATGGTTTTGGTCATGCCCWCTTAAACTTACCCAATAATTTAAAGCTAACTGATCCCTTCTTATTCTAAGTGGTAATTCTCCCATTTCTGTTAGTAAAGATGATGTAGGTGTTGTTTTAAMTGCTCCAGTGATAATTCTCATTGCCTGATACTGAATATTTTGTCGAATGCTGCACTGAGGTCGAGAAGAAGAATGGTGAGGCATCCTGAGTCTGAAGCAAGGAGGAGGTCATTAGTTACTTTTAGAAGGGCGGTGTCGGTGCTGTGATGAGCATGGAAGCCAGACTGAACCATTTCAAAGAGCTGAAAAGGAAACATCAAAAGTAAATAGTTTTCGTATTTAAAGGAATCTTTTATTATAAGTCCACAGTAAAAAATACATAAGTAGTTAATACTCTTTGACATTTCTAATCAACAACTTTTGTAATGACACTGAAACATTTCTCTGCTTCTCCTAATAAATGTAGCTGCTGTAAAAAAAAGTAACATATTATGAGGTCTGAGTGCGAGAGCATTTATAATTATCATCCTGCAGTTAACTACAATCCATGTAAGTTTGATTAATTACCCCCATTAATAATTCCTGACATGTTGAAGAGCACTTGGAAACTTTCCCTCTTTTTCACCTCTATTTTTAACTAACCACACCAAAGTCTTGCTGTGAAACTCTAAAAGGAAGCAAAAAGTTGATCAGAGACAGAGTTGTGCATCCAGGAAGCATGAAATCTGAGGAAACGGGTGGATTTAGTTTGGGGTTTTTTTTAGTACCAAGTATTGCATTATTTATAATCCCTGACAGCCTTACATGGGTGGAGCCAGAGGACATCCAGGGTGGTAAGTGCCACCCCAGGTGTCATTTCCAAATGATTGACAAGTGAATGGGGATTGTATATGGCATTAAAAGATAGGCAATAAGAGCAAAAAAGGAATAAATATCTGTCAAGCAGTTGTATTGTCTGACGTAGAGGTAATCTATCAGTTTGACATATATGAAGATTTTTTTAACCACTAGATTAACATGAAGTAACAATTGTGGGCAATAGTTCATGGTATAAGAATGAAAGTTGAGCAACATCCTGTGGCCAGTTTGTAACAAACCTGACGTGGAGCAACTAGAAAAGCTCCTTGAGAACCTCTGATGGGTCTTTGATGGGGGCTGTTCTTTCTGTGGCCGTTATTTTAAATTTACCATTTGACTGTACAATGTGTTGGTGATTACAGATCCCTCTACATCAAATTTCACTTCAATGTGTCTAAATATAACTTGAGTTATAGCCATTTAAAATTACCCGTGGCAGCCATCTTGAATTTTCAAATCCAGAGTAGTTTTTTTTTACATTTGTATGTGCCGCCCTAAAAACATCTTGGCTGCTCATGTGCCTTTGCAAAAGAAAAAAGTCTAGCTCCACTCCTGATAACAGAAAAAAGAAATATACAGAGCTGTACTTTGAGGTGTTGTAAAAAAAAATGTGGGCTTGTTTTCAAATTTAATTGAGTTTAAGCTGCTGCTACTACTTTTAGTAGGTGAAAAATTAAGGACTACTGGATTTAAAAAAATAACAATTTGCAGCGATTTTTCCATCAATATAAAGTATTTATTGAAATGTTTATGCAGAATTTATTTACTAATATAAATCCATTTTATATATGTATAATAAAAGAGCATCAGTGACGTTGTCAACAGATAAAAAAATAACAATGAATCCTCTTTCTCTTATGTAAAGTCTGGTTGATCCAGGACCTAGCAGTGGTCCTGGGCAGCATTAACAGACCGACCCGTGCCAGGCTGTAGTGTTCTGGTCTCTGGTTACGTTGGGCAGAACCGAGCCGCCCAGATGTGTGCTGATCTGAGACGAGCGAAGGCTCCTCGTTTGTCCTCGGGCTCGAGCCTCGTACAGCTCAGCTGAGGTCTTCTTATACCTGCAGGTGGATTTTTGTTTGTTTAATTTTTTTTTTGAAATGAAAACATATAAAACTATAAACTTTTTGTTCACTTGAAAAATCTTACCACACCAAATTTTAGCTCAAATTTTGTTAAAATGACTGACTGTGTAAGGATGAACATATAGGGGAAAAATCTTTTAAAGTCAAATAATGAAACATTTAATAAAACCTAAAGCTGAAATTTTAGATTGCACAAATATACAAATTGCAACACTTAAAAATGGAGTTGTCTGCAGAAAACAGGTGTCACAGCATTAGTAAGAACCTCTCAGTGAATAACCCGTATTATAACAGATCATTTCTGTCTCACATTCTGAGCAGCAGAGAGGACAGGACCACAGATACGGAGGAGGCAGCCATCGCAGCCGAACCCATCCAGGGCTGCAAGACAAGGCCGACGGGCATGAACACACCTGGAGAAGAGAGGACAGCAGGTAACTTCAGCATGGAAGCTCATTTTAACAGATATTTTAAAAAAAGAAACAAGATTCCTCACCTGCAGCTACTGGAATCCCCAGCAGGTTGTAGACGAGGGTGAAGACGAAGTTGATCCTGATCCTGCGGACGGTTTTCTTGGACAGTTCAATACTTGCCACCACATCCAACAGGTCGTTCTGTGGAGGGAAAAGCCCGTCAGGTCGGACCATGGACACAGACCATCACCAGAGAGGACAGAAAGCTGGAGGCTGAAGCCACAAAGGGGCCAGTGTCTCCCAGTAGCCTCTCCATTTAAAGAAATGGGCCTTTTACTTTAAAGGCACAGTGTGTAGGATTTGTTGTTTTCAGTGACATCTAGTGGTTGAGTGGTTGAATCATCCTCCCTGGTCCTCCCACCACCCCACTTTCAAACACAAAGGAGTTGCTACGGTGTCTCTCAGGTGTCAAAAACCTTTGATAATTCCAACCGCGATGTCTACCAGCAGCTTCAGGGCTAGTGATGTTTCAAGTGGTAAGATTATGAGCTTTAATAAGTAAAATTATCCCAGCTACAATGTTTACATACACAAAAAAATTTTATCGGATTGAAATGTATTCAGATTAAATAATCCTAATGTACTGTTTACATGGACACAATC